ATCTGCTTCACCTCGTCCTCGCTGCCCTCGAACTTTCCTGCTCTGATCACTGTTCGCTGTTGTAACAAACATCGGCGATCAGCACAGTGTTGCGAATAGTCTTCGCATAGAGGCGGCCGCATAGCCGTGGTAAAAAACTTCTCACCTGCCGAAATCAAATGCCCTTCCAGCGTCTCGAAGATATCGTCTGGCGATGCACTCTCTTTGATGTATCTCGGGTCCACCGTCTGTAGTGAATCACGAACGTGTTCAAGAAACTCTCGCTTGTGGGTGCCTTTCTTGAGGGCCATCATAAGAGCGTCTCGGTCCCATCGCAAAATAGGTTCCGTTTTGACTTCAGGAGAATACTTAGCATAATTCATGACGCACACCAGTGGTAAGTGATCTCTAGGAGCCGCACCACGTTGTAGTTGTAACTTTGCACCCAACTTCGGGATAGTGCCACAAGTGATAGTCATAGCGTCCATGTCCGCTTGATAACTGAGATAATCTATTCGCGAGCTATATGTGTCGCCGAAGAAAGTCGGTGAGCTTCTCCCACCCACCGTGTTGCCTGCTAGAAGCCTGTGTTCCTCCAGAACTGCTCGGAACAGTGCACCTGCTCCGTCCTCTGTGCGCTCCAACGTCGGGATACCGATAGCACCAGAACGCAAATCCACACTGCCCGAGCCTCGCTTCTGTAAACCCATCCCGTCATTCAAATCACAGAAAATAAAAGGTGTTGAACGTGTCGGTGTTTGAGCCAATATATCTTGGAGCCAGTCTCGCAAGATCCGTACCGTTCTGAAATAAGCTCGTTTTTTTGGAGTCGCATATCCCGAGGCGGAAAGTAAAGAGAAACTAAAGTTAGATCTTGTCGTCCACGTTTGACCCGAACTGCAATCGCTCTCCCTCGCGCTTCCTGCGGAGAACACCAGCTGGCCACAATATGGTCCTCCTTCAGGCCCCCGCCGAGCACGATAGCGCATCCACAACTAGAGTTCGCGTGCGGGCTGGGACCAAAAGGCGCCTCGAGAAGCAGTCGTCGTGCTACACGTCGTCGGAGTATCTGACTGCCTGTATGGTTCTGTCGGTAATCTACGGACTGCGTTCCAGCTAGAAGCACCGCGTCGAAATTCCGTAACTCTGTGACAATCTCCTCCTGCCTCGCGCCCGTGCAGCTCTGCGGGTTCCAGCCCAGGATTCTCAATCTATGCATCCACGCTGAACCGTATCTTGCGTGTCTGGTCGGAGAAACGCTCTGGCAGGAGGCAAATCTAGGTGGGCAGCTGACCCACTTGCAATCATAAACTCGAGCCGACAGGGCTAATTATTTTACCAAAAGGCGCCTCGAGAAGCAGTCGTCCTGCTACACGTCGTCGGAGTATCTGACTGCCTGTATGGTTCTGTCGGTAATCTACGGACTGCGTTCCAGCTAGAAGCACCGCGTCGCCAAGAGGCCCCAAGAGGCCCCCAAGAGGCCCCCAAGAGGCCCCCAAGAGGCCCCCAAGAGGCCCCAAGAGGCTCCAAGAGGCCCCCAAGAGGCCCCACGAGGAGCCCGAACGACACACACCAGGACGAGGGGCCCGAACGACTCACACCACGAAAAGCCCGAACGACTCACACCACAAGGAGGGGCCCGAACGACTCACACCAGGACGAGGCGCCCGAACGACTCACACCACGAGGAGCCCGAACGACTCACACCACGACGAGGGCCCCGAACGACTCACACCACGAGGAGCCCGAACGAGTCACACCAGGAGGAGGGGCCCGAACGACTCACACCAGGATGAGGGGCCCGAACAACTCACACCACGAGAAGCCCGAACGACTCACACCAGGACGAAGAGCCCGAACGACTCACACCACGAAGAGCCCGAACGACTCACACCAGGAAGAAGGGCCCGAACGACTCACACCAGGACGAGAAACCCCAAACGACTCAAATCACGAGGAGCGCTTTCTCTCCCTCCTCCTCCGCCTCGTCCTTCTCCCGCTCCCCCCACAAGGAGGATGTACAAGGAGGCGGGAGGAAGGAAGAACAGGGGAGATATGCGGGGCCTAGCGGACACACGCCTGAAAAACACGACTGTCGGCATGCTTCGCAAGAGTTGCTGCTGTGAGATGGGCTGGTGGGGATACGCGAAGCGTAAAGAATTTATACCCCTACGGTGCCACCGTAAGGGTATAAACTTTCCAGCCGCCCAGGGACAGGCGCCCCCGACAGCGAAACAGTTTATTTTATACCCTTCTTCGCCCGTGCTCCGTGGGGTCCCCGGGGCTGCCGGAGGGGCCCCATGCCCTGCCCAAGGGACGGGGGCGGCGAGGGCGCCCGGCGGCCCGCCGCCGCCCCCGTCCCCCGTCCCCCCCCCTCGGGCGGTGGCGAATTCCACGAGGGAGATCGACTGCAGAGATGGCTTACAGTCGGGGCGTTGACCCAAGGGAGCCGAAATCAGGAGCGAGGCCCCTATTTTCCATCAGTGGAACTTCGACTTCCGATCGAAAACATAGGGAAAACCGGAGGCAAGCTGTGAAACAAGTAAGGAACACGGAGTCCCTCCCCAACGAAAAGGGTTCCTTCTTCAGGGACCCGACTGCACCCCCGAACTTGGTTTCCACGTCGACATCTTCAGCACGCCTGCGCAGAGTGTCCGCGCATCTGCGGCACGTCCACGAAGTGTCCGTGGGGTCGGCGAGCAAAATCAAGTCTGGGGGAGTAGAATCAAGTCTGGGGCAAACGAATTCTGCAATCGATGCCCTGCTCGACGAATGGGGCGGGCGATGGATGGGGTGTGGGGGCAGCGTGCACATGTCGTGCCCCTGTTGGGCCGGGGGGACCCCTCTGGGGCCCCATTGAGCCCTTGAGCGCGCACGGGAGGTGCATCTTTCTTTACCCTCCCATTTATGGCCCCCCCCATTAGGCCACTGGAGGGCGCCTGTGCTCAGGGGAGGCTGCAGCACCGCTCAATGATGCGCTGTCAACCAAACCTGCAGGATGGGCCCTCTCCATTTCTCCGTGCACTTCAACTTCTGGCTTCGGCTTCAGCTGTCGATGTGCCGTGAAGCGCCTTCGGGCCAGCTCACCCGAGTCGGATGTTCCGCTCGCGCGGGCGCTCCCCTCCCCCCCACTAGGCCACGTCCAACCTTAAGTCGGGCGTGTCCCCCTACAGGGGAATTTTCAAGGAAAAATGAAACATACCCCCAAAATACACCCAAATTGCCAAACCATACTCAACAAATAGTCCCAACACTATGTTTTACTAGTGTTTAGATTATGTGTGGGGTATTTGCATTTTTCGTCGAAAATCCCCCTGAAAGGGGACAGGCCCGACTTAAGCCCAACCCCCACCCTCCCCCTCTTCTCCCGCGAATGCGAGTGCCATTCCTGCCCAAGCTGGCAGGTGAGCGCGGCCGCCCGCCCATCCCAGACGCCCAGCCAGGGCGATCGTCTAGCACACCCCCCCGCCCCCGCTCCCTCCACACCTCTTCTCTCCGCCTCCTCCTCGTCCCTCCTCCCCCGCTTCGCCTGCACCTCGAGCTGGTTGAGCCTTGAGTGCGAGCTGCCTGGCGACGTCCGTGCTCCAAGGCTCCTTGGCTTTTGGACCTCGGATGCGACTGCGAGGTGAGCGCGTCAGGCCTCTTCTTGCTTTCCTCCTCTCCTCGTCCTCTTTCTCTAAAGGAAAAAACTGCATAAACAACAACTTTTGGCGCTCCGCGCGGATCCAAGAAATCCGAGCGGAGCGCCAACAGGTTATGTTTATGCTGTGTGCTCTTCGTCGATTATTGCTTTCCCCCTCTCCTCCTCCTCCTCCTCCTCCTCCTCCTCCTCCCTCCTCCTCCTCCTCCCTCCTCCTCCTCCTCCCTCCTCCTCCTCCTCCTCCTCCTCCTCCTCCTCCTCCTCCTCCTCTTTTTTCCGCCTCCTCCTCCTCCTTCTCCTCCTCCTCCTCCTCCTCCTCCTCCTCCTCGCCTGTTTTCCCCTCCGGGGGTCGTGGCACGGGCAGCGCCAGGTGGCGGCCGCTCCCCGTGCAGAGCACCCGCGCGCCCGCCAGCGGCCCGCGGGGTGTCCGCCGGGGACGGGCCGCTGTGCAGAGCCCGGCGGCCGCCCTCTCCGGGGACAGCTGCTGGCCCGCGCTGCCCCGCGAGAGAAGCCCCGCAACCCCGCGCGCGAGGTGCACCCGAGGAGAAGCACGGAGCACCCGGAGCAGCCTGAGGAAGCCCTGAGCACCCCGAGGAAGCCCAGAGCAGCCGGAGCACCCTGAGCAGCCGGAGCACCCCGAGGAAGCCCTGAGCACCCTGAGCAGCCTGAGCACCCTGAGGAAGCCCCGAGGAAGCCCTGAGCACCCTGAGCGCAGCAGCTTCTTCGACGGCCGCGGGGAGTCACCGCGCAGCCGCGCGGAGCGAAGAAGCCCAGGGCACCCTGACGAAAGGCAAGTGGCTTCTTGGTGCGCGCCCCGACTGTACAGTGGCCTACCGTCTGCCCGCGGGATGGCCGAGCGGTCGTCTTCACCCGCCGCTCTGCCTCTCAGCTGCTTGGGGTGCAGCGCTTCGCCCTGCCAGTCTCGTTCCGCTGGGGCGCTGCTGCACACAGTCTGAAGTTGAACGAACTCGGTGGCTGTTCCACGTGGTAGGAGGGTCCTGAGTATCCTGCCGGCTTGCCTCAGTACTACCTCCCTCCGCCTCCTTATCCTCGCGTCCCTCCTTCTCTCTTCTCTCCGCCATCAAGGTATTCGGTGGCTGAGTGTTGGAGGAACGGGCGATGACTGCCCTGCGACACGGCAACATGCCGACTCCCCAATTTTGTGTTCGATTCGAGCTGGGGCCCTGGATAGAGGGCCAGGAGGAACAACACTGAAACGCCGCATGAGTTGTTGCGTCAACTGTTGTGCCACCCTCCTGGGACTGAACGTGTAAGCTTGGCATCCATGGCACCGAATGCCCCGAACCAACCTCCCCAAAAAACATCAGCACGCCAAAGTATGTCTCGCTGCTGTCCTGCCCTCCCGACTTGAGGTGTGCTCCTGCTGCGCTCTGGAAAGGCTGGTCCCGTCGGTGCTGACCTCCTCCTCGTGGGGGTACTCCCTGAACATGGAGGGGTCGTCTGGGCCCTTCACGGACGGCAGGAAGGGTGCCTTTTGCAGAGCAGGCGAGCCAGGACGGGTGGAGAGGAGCAGCAAAAGGGGGAGAGGGACACGAGGGGGACGGGTGGGCGGAAAAGGAGGAGGCGGGCGAGAGGAAGCAACGGAAAGGGAGTGGCCCAAGCGGAGCCAGGCACGTCCTGCATGTTGCTGCCGCGGCCAGATGCGCGAGGCGGGGATTGATCCATATCCACCACCTGGGAAACGACGTCCTGGTGCCCCTGCGGGCGGTGGATATGGATATAGTTTGGCCCCCGGGGGTCCGAATATACCCATAACCTCTGAGAGTCTTCGCTGACGACAACGCCGACGACGACGATGAGGAAGAGGAGGAAGATGGGGGGGAAGGAGGAGGAGAAAGAGGATGCTCTGAAACTCTCAGAGGCTGAATGCTCTGAAACTCATTGCTCCGAAACTCTCACTGCTCTGAAACTCGTTGTTCTGAAACTCATTGCTCTGAAACTCATTGTTCTGAAACTCACTGTTCTGAAGCTCGTCGCTCTTAAACTCATTGTTCTGAAACTCGTTGCTCTGAAGCTCATTGCTCGGGAACTTCCTCAAAAAGGCGCGTTGCTCTGAAACTCTGAAACTCTCATGGGCCCATTGCCCTGAAACTCATTGCTCTGGGACTCTCTCTGCTCGGAAAACTCACTGCTCTGAAACCCCTTGCGCTGAAACTCGTTGCTCTGAAACTCATTGCTCTGAAGCTCGTTGCTCTGGAACCCGTCGCTCTGATGCCTATTGCTCTGCAACTCATTGCTCGAGAACTTTCTCAAAGGCCCCTTGCTCTGAAACTACCACTCTGGAAACTCAAGGGCTCGCGGCGCTCCGGCGAAACACGCGCCATGGAGCTCAGTTCCTCGCCCTCATCCTTTCCCCCCTCCTCCTCCAACTCCTTCTGCTCCTTCTCCTCCCCCCCATGTTTCGAGTCTTATTGCAAGCCTTCCTACGAACAAGCTCGAAATTCCTTTTCGCGTGGAGGGTAGCCCAGGAGGCATTGTCCGATGGGAGAAATAACCGTCCACCAATATTCAGCACGGCGCGCAGTAGCGGGAAACTAATTCCTCCTCCTCATCATCCTCCTCCTTCTCGTCCTCCTCCTCCACCCATCCTCTTCCTCCTCCTCATCCTCCTCCTTCTCCTCCTCCTCCTCATTATCCTCCTCCTCCTCCTCCTCCTCCTCCTCCTCCACCCATCCTCCTCCTCCTCCTCCTCCTCCTCCCTGTTGTCCTCCTCCTCCGCTTCGCCCTTCTCCTCATCCTCTCCTCCTCCTCCCCCCTCCCTCCCCCTCCTTCCCTCCCTCCCTCCCCCCTCATCCCTCCCTCCCGCCCTCCCTCCCTCCCCCCCCCCCTCCCTCCCTCCCCCCCTCCCTCCCTCCCTCCCTCCCCACCCCCCTCCCTCCCTCCCTCCTTCCTCCCTCCCTCCCTCTTCTCCTCCTCCTCCAACTCCTCCTCCTCCTCCTCTCTCCATCTCCTCCTCCTCCACTTCCTCCTCCTCCCTCCTCCTCCTCCTCCTCCTCTTTCTCCTCCTCCTCTCTCCTCCTCCTCCCTCCTCCTCCGCCTCGTCCTCCGCTTCCCCTCCCCCTCCTTCTCCTCCTCCTCCTCCTCCTCCTCCTGATCCTCCTCCTCCTCCTCCTCCTCCTCCTCCTCCTCCTCTCAGCTTAGGCGACGCGGGTGTCATTAAGTTATGCTTCGCCAGTGCTTGCAAGATAATTTCTTGACCCTAGCAAGAGGAGGAGCAGGAGGAGGAGGAGGAGGAAGAGGAGGGAGGGAGGAGGGAGGGCCAGTCTATTCACCGCCGAGAACTCCAGGGGGGGTTCAAAACTAAAGACTTCTTGAGGGTATCCACCGCCTGCGAGGTCCCCGAAAGTTGATCCTCCAGGCGCTGGTAATGTATAAATTCCGGCTTCGGAAGATGGTCCCGACGCCAGTCACACCGACGGCGGCGCGACCACCAGAAGCGGCACACTGTGGAACTCAGCGAAGCACGGCCAGACTCGAGTTGAGAGGAGCTTACAGCAAGCACTCTGACGACTGCACAACCCTACTCACGTTCGGTGAAATGTCAGGCAACACATAGATCTACAACGACAGCGCAATGAGGTGCCCGGCAGGCAAGTGGACACGCGCATACGGGGAACTCGAGACTAGAGCGCATGGCCACCGAGAGCCTGCTCGATCACATCAGGCTGAAGGAGTGGAGCGACCTGCACCGCGTGGACTGCGGCCCCCCTTGACGCAGACGTTCGCCGCCATCGACCTGATGCCGCACGCGGCTGGTGAAGCCACCCGAGGCAGGGCCAGGACGCCCCGACAGGGCATGGGGCCACGACGCCCAGTGCAAGGACCAAGACCTTACGTACATTCGGGAATCGAGATCGCATCGGGGAGACGGACGAGGAGGAGGAGGAGGAGCAGGAGGAGGAGGATTCAGGAGGCGGAGGATTGAGGAGGAGGAGGAGGAGCAGGAGGAGCAGGAGGCGGGAGGAGGAGGAGGAGGAGGAGGAGGAGGAGGAGGAGGAGGCGTGGGAGTCGAGATATGGGGCGAGAAACACCAGCTCTCTGACCGCAACGCCCGCCAGTCCGCCCAGGCGGCGGGCGCATCGGCTGCAGCGCCAAACGGCTGGGATGAGGCCAGGGGCCTTTGCCGCCGTGGCTTGGGATTCTTTGTTCTCGCCTTAGTTTAGGCTCCCCTTCGTCGCGGCCAGGCCTAGCTGCGGCTGCCGTTTGTTGAGCATGGACCGACCGTCCCGGCATTCCTATAGTCCTACCACGAAATGTTCTTAGAACCCCAAATCGTTTTAACATCAAAAACAATGTTCTTAGAACGTAAGCCTCATCCGTTCAAGCAAGACAGTCCCAGCAAGAAATGTTCTAAGAACATTTCGTGGAAACCACAACAAGTTCTTAGAACATTGTTTGGTAGGGCTATAGGCACGCCGGGACGCTTCGCCGCTGCTCGAGTTTGGGCGCGTTCGGCGGGTGCCTTTCTCAGCGCAGCATATGATCATTCGGAACAGTGGCCGCCTGAACGCTGGCGCCGCTGGCAAGGCTGAGCTGCGAAACTCTTGCCCTGCCGTCGCCTCACAATGCGGCTCGACCCGCTCGCAGCGAAGGTCCGCCGGCCATCATGATGCTCAGCGCGGCTTTCGCGCGTGCTCCTGGAGGAGCTGCAGGGCACGGGCTGCGACGCCGAGAGTGACGGATGGTCGCTGGGCTCCCGGCGTGCGACCACACGCCGGCGAGCGACAAATCATGCGCACGGGCGACAGAGAGGGCCACGAGGCCCACGGGCCTGGCGCGACGACGAGGAACCCGCCGCCCGAGAAAGCAGTGAGAAAGCAGTGATCGACGGGAGGAGCAGTATTGGACAAGCGCGTTGCACTACTCGCAGAATAACTACTCGCAAATGGCCTGGATCCACCGCGAGAGATTTACGTTCCAGTACTTAGAGGAAGACGTGTTTTTTGTCGGACGCTTGCGAGTAGGCACTTTGCGAGTAGTGGAACGCGCTCGGTGAAGCTTGCAGCACGTCGACTGCCTGCTTTTGAAGAGGCTCGACTCCCAGACGGAACTTACGTTAATGGCTGCCGGCGCTACGCGCGAACGACAAAAAGAAACGAGTCTTACGCGAGATGGCATAGCGACCCTAAGCGGTGGCTTACGTGGGCCGCCAGCGGGACACGCTACGTTGGAAAGGAGGGCGCCGACGGGCGACCTCACGCGGGCAACTTACGTGCGAATGCCAGCGCAATCGACCCCAATCCCTGCTCGTGTTGCATCTTCGGGGGGCCTTGTCTGTCCCGTCGCGCCAAGATCCATGTCGAATCCGTGTCGAATGCGTGTCGAGCGAGTCGTGTCGAATCCGTGTCGAATCTTAGTCGCAGCCACATCGAATCCGCGCCGAAGCCACGTCGGAGTTCAAGAAAAGACGGCCATTTACAGGACAGGAAAAGGTACAGGAACGGTCCCCCCAAGATGCAAAGTAACCCTGCGTCGCTCACGTGGCTCCGACAACAATTCGAGGCCAGGGTGACGACTTCCGAGGCAGGGGCTCCGAGCTGATGCGCGTCCGCCTGCCCCACGGCTCGGCGGCGGACAACAACTCCACGAACTGTTCGGGGCAGCTGCCGAGGACCACTGATCCCCCACCCGGCCGCCGCAACCACGCCAGCTGCAAGACGATCCCGTGCCCCGCGGGCGAACAGCCCCCAGAGAAATAACCGAACTCTATACACCGACGCTGTTTCCGGCCCCGCACTGAAGTTCGCACAAGAGAACGGATCCTGGTGTATACATGTTTCGCTGTTTCCACTGGAGAAGCACGGGAACAAGTATACACCACACCACCCCCCGACCGTCAAAAAGTCCTCAGGGTGAAATGCAGCCCGCCACTGGCAGTGTATGTGCTCCAGCTTCCGCCAAGAGACGCAGCGGCTACGGCACCAGCGGCTGGAGGGCGGCTGGGGGCAACATGCACTCCGTGGTGGCGAAAAGACCCCAAGACCGTGGAGGAGGAGGAGGGGGGGAAGGAGGAGGAGGAGGAGGAGGAGGAGGAGGAGGAGGAGGAGGAGGAGGAGGACGTCGTGCTCTGTGGGTCGGCCCCTGGGCGCCCGCGCTCTGTGGGCTCCGCCTGCAGGCGCGTGCTGGTGCTGCCCGTCGCGCAGGCGGGGGCCGACCTCGAGAGCCGCAGGAGGGCGAGGGCGGCGCCCAGCTCCCGAGCAGCACCGCCGAGGTCATCAGCGCCTGGAGCGACGTGGCGGGCCAGACGTGTGCCGAGGACAGCTCGACCCCGGGGCAGTGTCCACGCGAATGTTCGTGCGGTCCCCGTGGGGCAGCCTGCCCGGCTCTGGCTGTTCGGTGCCGTCGGCAGGACGAGCCTGGTGGGACGCTTGGAGTGTTGGAGTGTGCAGTACGGAGAGAAAGGCGATCGTGAGCTCGCCGCAGCGGTTTGAGATCTGCCCCCTCCCGCAGGCAGCCCTCAGCGGTCTCGTG